AAAAAAAAAAAAAAAACAGTATAAAGACAAGTCCGACCAAGAATTAAAAAATAATATTTTGTAGCTTCAGTCAAAAGACAAAGCATCGGTGACCGGTTTCTCTATTGTGCTCAGCCTTTAAGTCGGTTACGTCTTCTCATCCGGAGCTTGGAGAATCATGTTCAGTCTTCCTCTAACCCTCAGTAGCAATGGTTTCACACGGAGGACAGACTGACGGATATCTGACCCCTCCACACAGAAGGCCAGCCCCGGCTGCTCGCTCACAGGACAATGCTGAGCTTTTAAAGTGAGTTGATAAAACTTACTTAAGGCGTTAGTTACAGTTTGTCGAACAAGGAATAGTTGATGTAATCACCTTCGCTGTTTTTTTGTCATCAGTTAGAAATATATTAAAAAAAATTAAGATCTTTTTTTCAAACCAATTATTCGGATTTTGAGGTTTTTTGGCTGTAACAAATCCTTCATCTTCATGGCTTGTAAAATCCTTTAGATTCCTTTTTTTTATATTATGTTTTTCTGCATAAGAAAAACACAAGGCAGGCTTCAACCAAATGTCTTCAGATTAAGAAAACAACGTATTACTGGGCTTTAAGATTTATTACAGATTTTTGGCTCACTCGTCATTGTCATGTGTATGCATTGTGTTCCTGCTGCTAAAGCTGCTAAGTACACTCTAAGAAATCAGTCATGTTGTCTATTTGCTATATTTAATACCAGCTGGAGGAAACTCTTAGAACGGACCCATACTTGATTACTTACTCATACATCTGCTACTGTTCAGACTATCAGCAGCCTGCAGTATCAGTTTCCCTTTTTTAAGGAATTTGTGTACAATTAAACTAAAATGAAAGGAAATGTTAAGGACAAACTATAGATATGTGTCTGACAGTGCGTTCAGTCTACACTTTCTTGCTTTTTTCAATCTTTCTGGCCCCGTACCTCCTTTGGTATCCACAGTGTTCACAGCCTTTATTAGTAGGGCAGCATTGCTTTCTGTGTACTCCACAAACACCAGCAGCAACTTGAGGGACGTCTTCACCACCAGACGAAACTATTAAAAATACAAAGTGGACAGCAGGCACACAATTCAAAGAGGGAAGCTCAATATTGATACATTGATAGCTCTAAAATCAACTTTAGACATTGCTGATATCCATTAATTAGCATTACCTCAACATTCATGAATGCTTTGTGTTATCATTTTGTCTGAGCGCTTTCCTGTCTGGACAGTCATTTTTCATAACTGTGACAGTGTGAACAAAATACTGCACATTTAAGAATATTTGGATACAACACCAATGTGGATAATATTTAAAATCTGGTGAAAAAAAATATACAATTAGGCAAACTTTTAAACATCAGTCTTGGCATAACAAGACAGATATTTACATATACTTTAGTTTAAAACATCAAAAAGTCAGGAAAGGATAACGTAATTGCTAATTTCAACAAGCTGAAAGGAAGAATTGACAGAAAAGAAAACAAGAATAGCAATGAATCACCTGTGATAATATGACAAACAACTCTATGATGGATCTAATAGGGGATTTTCATTAAAAGCAACAAAGAAGAAGCCGAGTTCTCTGCCATAATTCACATAAAATGGGTAGTAAATAAGATCTATGGTTCCTCAAGCAATTTGGCCACAAGGGGGCTGAAGCACCATAATGTCAGGAAAGGACTGAATCCATTTGGACATCGTGATATAATCTGTTTTTAAGTGCTCTGATGAGATTACCTAGGTGAGACTGTTGCGATGACATTACAGAGCTTACAATCTCTGAAGGGAGTGGAGATCTTTTCAGGGCTAATGGTTGCATTCGTTTTTACCTTTGATCCAACCAAGGTGTAAAGCCACTGGACTGTTTCATTGTGAGATATGAGGCCGTTCATCCCATCCACGTACAGCATTATCTGGCCTAAAGCTACAGAGAGACAAGAGCAGAGGACGGATTAGATTATAAAAAAAGTGTTTGTACAGGCCTTAAAAAGAATGACTCTTTCCTTGACACTTCATGTGAAAGCGATATAAAGGTCTACAAAATCTGTAAATCAACTTGAGACTACATACTGTCAGTGTGTGGGAGGCTTCACTAGGAAATGTCAGGCTTCAGAAGAAAAAAGATCATAATGTTTATGACCAAAGTTAGATAGGCTAATACCTTTTGTCTAGTAGCAGTGAAAATGCCATTTTGCCTCAGAATGTTAACTTGGAGCAGAAAGATTGTTTGCTGCAATGGCAAATGAGCCTGAAGCTTATTTGGTAGTGTGCTTATTGTAATTTTTCTATTTCAAAGACAATCCTTTACCTTCCTGGCTGACGTCTAGAGAGGTTGTTTTAATATTTTCAACATTACGTTCTTTCCTCATCTAACGAGAAATCTAATGATGGTCATTACGAACAAAACTGTTCAGTACTGGTTTCCCAAGATGACAAGACATGTAAAAAATTTAATCTTTGTCTCAAATAGTATTTGTGAACTGTAATCAGCTTTTTTTATGTTCCCCCTGGAGAAATGGCTTAAAGAAATAAGGAAAACATAAATACTTAAAACCATAGCAGACGCTTGTGTTAAAAGTTTATATTTTACAACAGTGCTAGAAATATCTAAGGAAAGAACAAACAGCATGAATGATGCATTAACTGGCTTAAGAGCAAAGAGATTGTATTTAAAGTGTAACATTTTTGGAAGGCCTGTTTTTGGGCTGGAGTTTCAGCTTTGGGGTAAAACACGATGGAAATTCTCTGCAAATCATAGACATGTCTGCAAATACTGACATTTTGTAAAATTGGGGTGTTGCAGTAAAAAAAAAAAAGAAAAAATCTAGATTAAAAATATAGAAGTTCTTAGCTTAATATTAATAGCAGCTCAAAGTGAATGACCAAATAAAAGAAACATTTAATGTTCCTCAAAAACAGAACAATGCAATCATTTCTTACGCAGTTTAAAACGCTTTCTCATGAGACCTCCTGCTAAAAGCCTGCAGTTATGATACATATCCCTCTGCGTTCCTCATGGCGGGTTTGAAAATCATGTATCTGCTGTAGATAAGCCAAAATTCCCAGGTGCAGCTGCTGTGTGTACATCACGCATGAGAGCGAGCCCGGATCCATATCTCTGTGTGTTTACGCATGCTGATGGCTCTCTGGAACAGCGGCCGCAGAATTTCATCTTTTATCAATAAGGGGTCAGTTCGCCCCAACGTGTCGAAGGAAAACGAAAAGGTTCATTCCTGATGCATGCTCTGCAGCGAGGAAAACAAAACTAGATTCGTCGACAAACGAATGCAGGAACAGCTGAGCCTGCATGTTTCTTTTCAAAATCCATACCTGCAATAGGATCGCTGTGCAGACTTTTATCTCCTGCAGGCACCTGTAAAAGGTATCTGCAGAAGTGCTCTGTGGTTTTTGAGGAATGTCCAGAGCAAACAGGAGTGAGAAAACAGAGGTGGCCTTAATGAGGCTTTTAAAAGTGCCATTACACGAAGCTGCTGACAGATGAGACTTTATCTGGTAGCCACAAAATGAAATACCTTTCAGATCATTCTGACATGTTATCATAAGACGTTAGTAAAAAAAAAAAAGAAAAAAAAGAAAAAAAAAGAAAGAAAATCTAATAGATAGAAAGTGGCTGAATTTCTGACTTAAACATGAAGCCAAGTAAAAGAAAAACGAGAACGAATATATTGCGCGTGGATTTTATTCAGTGAGACGCAAAATATATGCAAACTGTTAGAAACCACAACAGAACCCACATAAACATTACCTTTTTCCTCACATGTCAAAAGTGCTGCTTCATGAAAGCCTTCGTTGCTGGAGGTCACTTATGTACAATTTAATGTAAAGCTCCAAAAACCACATGAAGTTGAACAGTCATGGCGAAATCACACTGCAACGGTTTAAAGTAAACTGGATTGCCCTTCTCTATAAGGATAATATCCACGAGCACAGAGAGGAAATTGTCTATTCACTTTCTAAATGGTTACCAGTGCAGACAGCAGATGGAGTTGGTACACTTTGGCAAACTAACCTGTATCTAATAGTTATTCTGTGTAAGTTGATCTAGGCTATAATGTTTCTTTTTCCTTCAACTCTCCCTGAATTAATAGTTTGTGGAACAACCTTTTACTGCAACGACAGCTGCAAGTGTTAAGATGGAAATTTGTGCCTGGTCTTTTTTTTTTTTCCCAAAATAGCCCCAACTGTCAGAATAGATGAAGAGCTTTTGGGAACTTATATTTTCTAAGTCTACAGAAGCTAAATCGGATTCAGGTTTGGACTTTGATTGGGTTCTTCTAGCCTATGAATGAGCTTTGAGCCCAACCAGTGTAGTTTTGGCTGCGCGTTTAAGATCGTGGTCTTAACGATCCTCCAAAGTAGAGGATCGTAGGAGAATCTCCAACTTAGTCTCAAGTGTTTTGCAGTCTCTAGTCTAGGTTTTATGTGGATGGCCATGTATTGGTAGGTCAGTAGTTGTTCATTTTCGGACGGTGGGTTGAGCAGTGCACCGTGGGATGTCCAGTGGTTGTGACATCAGTTTATAACCTAACCGTACTCTAAACTTTTCCACAACTTTAGTCATCATGACGATGATTTGTTCACTAATCTCTTCAATAAATCTCACAGCAACTCTATTCAATCCTCAATGATTCAAGGTAATGTAAAAAGTTTCTACCTAAGTAAACCCAGAAGATCGCTGCGAGTTATTGATACATTGAAGTTTGTCGTTGTAATATGTGTGTGAAAATGTGAGAAAGTTTAAGGAGTACCTTTCAGTGACACATAGTAGTTGCATTAATGGAAACGTACAGTTACTGTAACATAAAAACCAAGCTTTTAGGCAAGATGAGCTACATTTTACTGAAACCCAGCTTCAGTGACAGTGTTTAATGAGAAGCTTGGTCTCTGCTGATCAGTCATTTTATCTCAGTGGGAAGCATTTTTTTTTCTTCCTTTCTTGATTGATTGATTTAAAACTTCAGAAGGTAACTGCAGACCTATGAACTGTGGGAGACATAAACTGACCTAGAATTGAAAAAGAACTCCAAGCTTAAACAACCGAGGTCTGATGGAAGTGTTTCTTCTGGGCCTCTCCCTCTCATAAACCACAGTAATTATCTTCCACAGCCTCAGGAATGTGCAGGAAGGGCAGCTCCATGACCACTGCCGAGGTGAGAAGCACATTGAGGTCTGGGAGGCTGGACCATCTCAAGCGAGCAGAGTCAAATGCAGATTCCCAACAAAAAAAAACTCAAAGTTTACCTTTAAAGAATCAGCTAAGCAGTGAAATGTGTTGCTTGCACTTGCCACTTTGGTTTCTCTTGCATTTTAAATAAAATGGGTCAGCCAAGCTGGCTTGTTAGGGCACAGCATCCATTTTCCCAGGACTTTTGGTTACAGGCCAGTTCTCCATCCAGGCTAATGCAACTTAAATCCCCTTATCTTATTTATTCTGCTTTAGTGAGAAGCTGGACTCACATTTTTAATTTTAGCACTCCATATTTTCAGAAGTTATTTTTGCTTTACGATAAGATCCAGAAAAAAAAAAAAAAGGTTTTCAGGTATAGTTTGGTTTGGTTATCTTTGTATAATCAGAAGAAAAAGAACTTATGCAGAAGTAAAAGATGGATTAAACTAACTATGCTGATTTAAAATGTGCATTATTTAATCATTGAGCTAAACAAGGTTTATTAAATGTTCAGAGTAAGAGTTATATACAAACAGAAGACTTTATGACTACTAATTTGTGAAAAGGGTTGCTTGTGGTAATGAACTTATGGAAAAAGTCTCAGTTCTCAGCCCTGGAGTGCTTTATAGTGTTTTCTTAAGCTATATTTCATGGCTTGCCTCTTCATGGGGATTGGCAATAGTGCTGACTGACCTTCAGGGCTGTTGTTAGCCACATACAGCAATAAAAACCCATGAACATATTATATAGTTGGTCAAATTACAGCTTAACCCTAAGACTTGTAAAAAAAATAAAAAATAAAAAATAAAAAAAATGCTGAGACACTAGATTGATCTCCACTGATGCAAAAATAAAAAAAAATAAATAAATAAAAATATATAGAAGTTATGTTCAAAGAGACATTCCCCTTGAATGATTTTAAAAGTTTTTTTGTTTGTTTTGTTTGTTTGGTATTTACTTGGATTCTTTTTTGTTTAATTTCTGAAGTTAGCTAAAGCAAACCTGATGAATAAATTTACCAGTAAATGTCATTTCTGCGCATTGGCATTCACTCTCCAATTTGCAACAAATATTATTAGCTATATTATGTTGGGTCTTGTAGACACTGGGATAGAGAAGATGCTTAGAGAAGTGAAATATCTGAAAGAGAAATTCTGGGTTGTAGCAATTTGAGGTTTACTGACATTAGAATCAAGACTTATCTCAATTCAAACATTAATTTTAAGTTTATTGTTTTTGATGGGTTTTAATAAAGCTTATGGTTTTACTCATTTGTTCTTGCATTTTAAACGTTGTACGTCTGTATGTTTGTTTTGTAAGCAACGTCCAACTAGATATACACTACAAATTGGCTAAGGGTGTAAACGTTTTAGTCCGTTCACACCAAAAACTTGTCACTAAAAGGAACCAGTGAGATCAGAAATTTGCTACAGCAAAATGTCTGAAAGTATATGTAGAGAAGCTTTAACTAGTGTGTGCAGTCACACAATCTAAGGTCAAGAAACAAAGCCAAGAAACATTATTTGATGATTATGTTGAAAGCTGACACGTTTCCTTTTGTTTCTGACATTTTTCCTCACTGCGTTCAATGCCTCCAGGGTAAGGTCTGATTTAGCATCTGAGGGCCATAAAAAGACAGGTTTACAGCTCGGCTCTTATTGTATATGATCTGGATTAAGACACGGTTGTGGACTGCCTTCTATTTGTTAGTCAGCTAATCACCCAGACCATTAGAG